AAAAGATGCTAAAAGACTTTTTAATGAATTAATGGCATTAAAATCTAGAGTTTATTGGCGCATAGTAATTTTGGACTTATAGATGCAAGTAAAAGTGAGTAGGTAGCTATTAACATTACTTGATGCAATATTGTAGTCAATCATTTGTAAAGTTTTCTTAATTCAAGTTAGGATTATTGTAGTTAAAGTTTAAAGCATGGTTATTAGAGAATAGCTTTAGATAGTATACTAACCAAAAGAATATTTTAGCAAAATATATATATATATATATATATATATATATATATATTAAAGAAATATATAACTAAAGAAAATTAGGCATAAAGACTTATTACCTATAGTTTGGATTTACATTTTTCTTAAATAATCCTATTGTCTAAATTTTGGTACTTTAAATGTAAATTAATACACAATTTAACAATTTAGAATTTCAATTAAATACTATTTTGAGTATGATAGGCTTATTTATTATCTTCAAATATTGCTTGATTATTATATTTTTCATTAAATGTCACTCTACAAACAATAAAATTAATCAATCTTTTAGACTAACAAATTATTGTTCTAGTGCAAAATGTCAACATTTTTTTTTCAACAAATCTTTTAATGATTTCAAATTTTTATAGCTAATTTATCTATTTTTTATCATTTTAATATCAAGTTTCATAATACAATAAATTTTGCAAAGAATCAAATTTCTAAAACTTCTAATGAGACTCATTAGAAGATCTTCTTATAGGATTGCATTAAATGAATTGAGAATTTTTTTTATTGCCTATGCTCCTTTGGATACTATAGAAAGCTAGGTTGTATCATTAAAGGAGTCATATCTTCTATGTAAATGTCTTGTATTCCTCCAACTACAATGCCTTTGGTGATGTTGGCATACAATGTGTTGTGATGTTTGTGCTTCATTAAAACCTAATGGTTCAAAGGTAAAACCATGGGGGGGGGGATCAGCTAGTAAATATGAAAATATGTTTCTATTTGATAGTATATCAAACACCCAAGGCTTTGATCATCCTCAAAACAAGCTTCAAACCAATTACCATGCTCGTCTAGTGTATTCCATTTGACCAAAACCACAATTCCAACAATGAACTAATATGATACAACTATTTTTTGCCTCTTTTCTTTTTCTTTTACTTTGTTACACTTTCTTATTAGTTCAAATGCATTATACATGAGTATTAATTGGTTTTGGGGTGGCAAGATCCAAAAAGTCCTCAAATCTGTTTGAGCAGTCCAGTCCATATCAGAGTGGCCATTAACACATGTGGCAAGTTATGGTTGCTGATGCAGCGGGCCAGTGATGATTTGATTTCAGACAACCAACACATGCACATTTCTCGTGCTGCTCATTACTCCCCCCTTCCACACGCAGAGGCAGGCATCAGAAAACACCTGGGAAACAGGAGCTTGACAGACCCACAACACTGAACTAACAAGAGGATGGACAATAAATAAATGTGACAAATATAATAAAATACACTCACAATGGAGGCAAAAGCTCAGGTAGAATCTTACTCAAAAACCTGGCACCAACTAGAGACAAACGTGGCAGAGCCTTGCCCTGCCATAAAGCCTGCGGGCTGTGCTCTGCTACCTCTTCAGCATCATAGCTCTCCTAATTCTTCTACTTCTTCTTCTACTTCTTCTTGTAATTGTTATTACTAGTATTATTATTATACTATTATTATGGCTTTCATACAAGCACAATATCAAGGCAAGTTAGGGATGTAGACATATCTGATTTTGTGATCAGAAGGGTCCAGATCCGCCTTGACAAGAGTGGTGTACATACTACCACTGAGCTTATTAAATCCAGCCTTCCTTCTCTCCTCCAGAGAAGGCAAGTGGGGAAATCTGCAGCCTGGTCAGACTCTCCTCCATGTGGGTCAGCATGTATCACTCCTCTCAGTCACACTCTGCTTCAAAACGACAAAATATAATTAAAAAAAGGAAACTAAAAGGAATGGGAACTAAAATAAACCAAAAAACTTACCCCAGTGATCCTCCATACCTCCCCCCATACCTCCCTCGTTGTACCGACCCACCCATCAACCCATTTACCAATCCATTTACCAACCCATTTACCAATCCATTTACCAACCCACCCATTTACCAGGTAAGAAAAAAAAACATTTTCTTCCAGTGTGAGTGGCCCTGTCTTCTAACTGCACTTCTAAATGCCTCTGCATTGCTTTACTTTTGACCGAGGATTCCAGCGTGCGTTTGTTACCCAATTGTTTTGTTGGTGTTCTAACACTAGGGAGCATCAAACAAGGTGAGCTGATCGGTGAATGTTTCTCTTCTCTTTTTTTTTCTTTAAAAAAAAGGAGGTTAGTGATGCATGGTTATTATGAATTCTACAAGAGAGTACTATTTGTTGGGGGAGAAGGTGGAAGAAAGTGCACAATCTGTGGAAAATATTAATGGAGGCGCATTGAGTTATGTGAAGTTTTTCTTCCAATTTTGTTCTAATTTCAAAATTAGTAAGCGGTGAAACAATTATTTTAGTGAAATGAAATCTATTTCCACCAATAACATCAATTACTTAATCACTATTTTCATATTAGTCCACAATTATTTTATTATTTTGTTATTTATTTTTTTTGGAGAGGTTTTCTAAATTATATTTTATATGTTTATTCTATTGTGTTGATTGCAAGAATGATGACGAAAATGATATAATGAGTCCTATATGCTATATGCAAGATAAATCATCTCCTCAATACTTTTAAATTAATTAATCCTAATGCTAATAAATTTTGCATTTAAAAATATAATTTAATTAATATATGATTATGTTTGTCAAATCATATGTTTTGATAGTGGTCTACCATATCACACACACACACACACACATATATATATGTATATATATATATATATATATATGTTAGTGACCAAACATATCTCAAAATAAAGGCGTTTATGTTTTTTATTTTATTCTCAGTATAGGAACCAACCATCTAAGAAAGTCAAATAAAGAACCTAATTTTCTTATTCTTCTTCTTCATGTTATTATTAATAATGTGATGAGTGAAACAGCTCCCTCATCATCATGGAGTTCATTTACTCCCCATTATTCTGCACAGAATGTGCGACTGAGGCTTTTAGCATTTATACATGGAAAGCAGTCTTATCAACAATCAATATCAATCCATCAAACATACAGAAAACCTGACAAATTGTTACAACATTTTTGAACTCTCGTTTATTTATAGAAAGTCAATCAAGTTATTTTATTGAAAAAAAAACTCTTCTGTAATTCATGGATTGAACTTCCTGAATTATCAAAAAGATATGAGACTTAATCACTATATATATATATATATATATATATATATATAATGTTAGTTCTACAAAGATCTGTGTGCTTGCTACAAACTTAAAGTAACAACTTGGAGATTGGGAGAGGCTATTGGCTCAAATACTATGAAACATCTTGTCTTCATGATCTTCTTCTTCTTCCATCCAGTGTAGAAGCTCCTAGAAGCACCCACATGATAAGACGGTAAAGATAGAGCATCTTATATATATATATATATATATATATATATTATTCAGATTCCAGAACATACTTTTTTCTGTTTTTTTTTTGAAAGAGTTTAATTTAATTTAATTTTTAAAAAATGGGGGGAGGGGGCAGAATGGAGGGATAAAACCTTTATTAAAAGACAAAAACAAAAACAAAAAATCCTCATCTTTTTGGTTTTTTCTTTGTTTTGTATCACTTGTCTTTCTGACAATTCTCAGGAATCAAATGTTCAGGACTGGAAAAGGGTTCGCAGACTGAGGATTGTTGATCACTTAAAAAAAACATCCATGCACAATCTAACAAAATAAAGTAAGAAAAAGCACAAGAAAAAGAACAAAATTGTTCATGCCCTAACAGCAAACATAGGCAATATGGTGCTTGTTTACAAAGTAATGTTTATCCTCATTCTAACCAACACTCCTCCAATTCTATGCAACTTTTTATTGCCATTTTATTGTCCTCCATCCAACTCCCACTCTCAATGCACACTTTTTAAAGCTTTTTGTTTATCACACTATTATTCCTAATCATAAAATATTGTTTGTGTTTGAAAATGAAATGAATTTCCTTACGCCAATATTTCCCAAAATGATTTCACATTGGATACATATTTTTATTTATTTATTTACTTATTTATTGAAAAAGTATACCAATATATTTGAAGGGGAACTCCCTAGTGCAACATCCATCCACCCACCCACCCATCCATCCACTCATCCACTCATCCACTCATCCACCCAACAATCCATCCATTCATCCGTCCAAAACACAACCCTCCCTGCCTGTTTGATCCATTCCGTTCTAATGTTTTTTCATCCAAAGGGACATCTGCGTGGATGACAACGCAAGGATCCCCACCCGCACCCTGTACAGGCCCCTGTATGAGCCCCGGCACCAAGCCAAGAATCATGAAACAAAACACACACTCAGCTAAGAAGCATCAACACCGAAACGGGCGATTCTACAGCAGAGCTATGCCGCAATGGATCCACCTCGCGGGATTCAAAGCATGCTGACCAATGGAATTTGAGGCGGAAGTCTGGTTCTGAAGCGTTCCTTGCAACGAATTTTTCTGTTGATCTCTGGGAGAGATAAAGGGCAATTTGATTGTGGGGAGAGTCAAACGGGGATTTGACAGAGAGCTTGACTGTCAGCGCCAGGGGTGATAAGAAGTCCTGCAATCTACAATCGGGAGGAGGAGGCATTGTGGACGCGATTGCAGGACAAAGCTCTGGCTAAGCTGCAGCCCAGAAACTGAGATACAGTGACAAGCTCGACGGAGTGAAGGGAAACGAGGGACCTAAAAATAAATAAATAAAAACACTCGAAAAACGCCTAAAAAAATAACAGGGGAGGCAAACGAGAACTGACTTTTTCGCGGTGAAGAGCGTGAAGAGCGTTGCTAAAATTACTCGCGAGGATGGAAGGAAATTTCTGGTGGAGGTAGGGCTATTGCTAGCTCATGAGACAGAACAGAGGGAGAGAGAGAAGAGCGAGAGATCGAGAGAGGAAGTGAGGTCGTGGTGGTGTTTTGCCGGGCGCCGTTTCCCGGTCTGATGGTATGCCTGCTGCAGCACGCAGAGCAATTTTTCAAACGTCCCTTCCATCCTTGGGCCACCATGGATGCCATCGCCCGCTCTAGATAAGAAGCCCCAACCATCATTCTCCACCCAGCAGATTGGATCCTACCCGCCCTCGGCGGACCCTACTCTCTCTCTCCTCTCTCATTCCCTGTCGCTCTCGTTGGCCTTCATCTTAAACTCTGTGTATTTTATTTCAGAAGGGCAGTTTGAGGGGGGGACGTTGGGAGAATTTGTGGCGGGGGCGGGAGGATTGGGTGCCTCCGAGGAATAGAAGAGGAGTGTGGGAATTTGGAGTGTGAAGATGGGTGTGAGAGTTTGTGAAGGGTGGTTGTTGGCGATGATGGTATGATTGTAGATGGTAGTGGAGATTGGTTTTGGCGTCTGCGGTGGCAGCGGGATTGTGGGTTGGTGTTGGAGAGGGCGTGGTGGTTAGTAGAAGAGAGCCAGGAGCTCGCATTGCAATCAGTACAATATCTGGTTCCATCCATGAGTTGCTGCTCCTTTGACGATTTGTTGGGGAGCCATGGATCCCGTCCTCAATGGCGCTGCTTCGTCTCCCTCTGAAGACGACGAATGGGGTAAGGCTTTCATTTAACTGCTATGACTGTTATTGTGAATCTTCTCCTGCGTTGTTTCTTCACCCTTGAAGAATTGCTCATTTATCTTGCAAGTTTTCGTTTTGTTACTTATCTACATTGGGATATCGCTTCCTCTTGTGGCTGTGGTGAAGTTTTATTCATGATCAATATGTGTTTGTAGATGTCATGCACCGCAGTGTGGATAGAATCAATACTTTGCAAGGGAGGCTTGTTTTTAAATTTATATGCGTTGATGTCCTGGGTGTCTGATTGTGGCTTTACCTGCCGATCAAGAAACAATATCTTACTCTGCCGGGGATCAACCAAACTTTCTTTTGACGCATGTCGTAAATATTTGATGATCAGAATTTTCTCTTTACTGCATGGCTTTGCATAGTTGAGTATTGTTACTCCCGTATTGACCACCTTCTGCCCTAAGAATGTGATCTGTACCAAGTTACCGTTTGAGGCATTGTTTCAGTTAGTCGCATTGTACCACTATATCTCTATTGCTGCTTAGCAAGCACTCATGTGAAAATCAGCATCCAAACAAAGGTTGAGTATGTAGACAGGGTTTGTACACGAAATATTTCCCAGAAAAACTTTCAATTACAGATAGCCCGTTGATGTTGCCTTCTGATTGATAGGGCATGCAAGAGTTTTGTCCGTCCTTTCTTGAGATGAATTTTGGAGGCTGTTATAGTCCATTGCAAAGCCAGGTCCTTTGGTTTACGTGTGGTTATGCTTCAGAGTCTTTGCCACTATCGTGGATATTTTTCACGTCCATCGACTTCTCTAAAGTTATCCTGGTCTAGATATCTCACATTATTGACGTGTCTTCTATCTTCCGATGTTGTCTGAAGACAGAATTTGACATAAAGAGTGAATAAAAAGGTCGACTAAATTTTCACCCATTCCTTAACCCTCATTATGTGCTTATGGTGTTGCCTTGGCAGTTTTCATTGTTATTCTGAACATCCTAGATGTAGTGGACATGAAAATTGATGTTAGCACTTGGAGTCGTGTGTGTCGGTTACACTCCACCTGCATGGTGAGGACTTCTGGATGATATTAGTGCTCATGTCTTTATGACTAGTTTACTGCACGTGCGTTATTGACTCGCAGGCGTTGTACAATCGATTGGGTTTAAGAGTGAGAATGTTCGGACCACCTGAATGGACTGAGTCAGATATGTGGGTTAAACCCTTCGCAGTTGTTCCTTGAATACTTTACACTACATTGAATAATGAAAAACAGTGACCCGGCTGCGGAAAACCTGCTTATTGGTCGATTCCTCAGAGGCCATCGCTCGCTGGAGTTTCATTACCATAGAAAAAACAACGAATTTTATTATATCCTCCCGGTTTTTGCAAAGCAGTGAGCAGGCAATGGTAGTTGGATTGCATGTGAGATGATCACAAAACGTGCCTGTTTTGACGATAATGTGTGGATACTGCCTCGGTGCGTGCAGATGCTGACGGATTTGAGATACCAAGCTTAGATGCAGGGCGGCCAGTAGCGGCCAGTCGAAAAGAACGCACACAATCTGATGAAACTTACAGACCTTATCAGAGAGTAAGAACCTGGCATTTCTGCCGAGAACATACGACCTTTCAATGTGGTCTGTTAGAGTGCGTGAAGTATCCAAACCCTTGCTTTCTTGAACTTAACCAGTTTGAGGAGACGAGTTTCGAGCATATAAACTGTTTAAGAAACAGATTACATCAAGTTTGACGAGGTTGTTGATACCGAGTTTGACTCGTTATGACTTTAAACTAAATGTTTTCGCTCTGAATTCACACATCTTACGTTATAAGTCCAGTTTTAGCTTGAGCCCGGCCAATGTGAGACTGTTTTGATGGTTGTAAAGCTGAATTGATCCAGTGGACATTCTAGCCTGGACGTTCAATCCCGAGGCATACGGGTTATGACCCTTGTGTCGGATCCCACAGGTTAAGCACGAGCCAGTAATGGGCTGTCAGAAGCCTTTTGTTTCATGAAAGTATCGAACAGTATGCCTCTGTGATCCAGAACCCAGAATCCAGAATTCGTCCATGCTTCTAGAAAAACGGTGTGCCTGTGTTGTGTTTGTTCTCGATTGTTCAGGTGTAACACGAATCTGTATGACCATACTGATTGCTAAAACTAAGTTTGAAAGGTATCTGATATGAAGATTTGGGTGTGGTGGGACTTGGTCTCAGATTGGAGATGTAGTGCGTCATGTTAATCAGTCAAACTTGCACATTTCTTTTTTTTTTCATAGTTTAAGAGCATTGTCGCTGCTATTCCCTACTAACAAAATATATATCGAGGTTTGGTTTTGGAGGTTCTTGTTTTTTGGAGAGGTTTCTTTGACAACACATGTTTTCACACTACGAGCCAATTATAACAAATCAATTGGTTTGTAGTGTCTTCATTCTTCGTCTTTGGCATTAAAGAGTGTCGCTGAAGTAAAGCTGTTGCTTCAGTGAATCACTTTTGATGTATTTCCAAAATTACTCATATGCTGTTTCTGTGGCAGTCTGCGGCAGGCACTGAACACATCTACTTGGGACCCCACGGTGCCCCTCCACAGTATGGTCGTGGTGGTCAGGACAGTTCAGGACCGAATCGAAAGCAACGCTTGAAACAGAAACTCAAGGATGCCGAAAGAAAATCGTCAACTCCTTCGCGTGAGAACAAAGTGGAAGTTCTTCAAGACTTGATGGGCAGTAAGCCGGGGGCTGGATCCAATGCCCGGGGTACAGAGTCCGAGTGGCTTGACCCTTACTGCCACGAATCTCAATTTGAACGCCTAGTAAATCGCGCGTAATCCTGTTTCAAATCGGAATATTGCCATACAACTATTTAGCTAGGTTGAACGTGTAGTACCATGCGAGGAGTAAACAGTGTGGAGTGTATCTAGTAGGAACATCCAGGGAGGGGAACAGCAAGCACCCACGAAATGTGGTGTGATTTGGAGAGACAATTTTGTTTGGGCCGCAGTTCATACACATCACTTAACCTGCTGCTCGATGTGTTTGGAGTCTCACAGTTTTGGCTGTAATAGCAATGAGCAGAAACTTTTTTTTCCCCCTTTATGTTGAAAATCCTAGAAAGAGTAACTCCATGGTTCCATGATTTCGGTTGAATATCGTGTAGCCCATTTCCCATTACATCAGTTCTGTTGCCACGAACCCCTGCAAACGGATACTACTGCTTACTTACCCTCAGAACTCTGTGCAAACTGCCAGTGCCAATACCTCACCAGTATTCTATGCATTTAATACACTTGTTCAGATTAAACTTTTCACTTCTGTCACCTCCTTACTAGAAAAGAGAGCTAGATCTGACACCTACAAACTTGTGGGAACCGCAGTTGATACCAGCCGAGATGATGCGAGATCTGATTGACAGATAAATTGTATAAGCAATTGGGTTATCTGCATTAACTGCCAAAAACTGTTATCGTGAGTTGAGTTATTGACGCCGTGAGTCAAGGTTTTTCGGTCCAGCTGGAAAGGCGATTTCTAGGGACAGCTGGGTGTTGTCAGAAAGAGCTCCTTACGAAGAAAACAGTTATGGATCATGCGAGAGTGATGGCGGCTTTGCTTTTTGTGTATTAATGCATGTTCCCTACATGGCTATTGTGTGAGTAGTCCACAGGAGGCACAAAAGAATTGGCACAGAAGTGAAGCATTTAATATTGATGGTATTTATCGAACAAAGCATTTAATACTTTCAGCATTTATAGAAGGAATGTATGAGTGCGTGAGTGTGTACACAAATCTGTAATTACAGAAGCTTAATGTTGTCAACATCAGAGATTTGACATCATAATATGTATTGAAATAAATTCCTAGAATGCAATGATATTAATAAACAAGAATTTTCTTTCGATTTTAGTTATTTAAAACAGATCGAGTTTGCTGCGTTAGCGGAAATGGATAGGGTGTTTCCCCAAAAACACAAACATGATTATATTAGTATTATTGTTTAACCCTTCTTCTGGCTTCATTATGAATATCAATGGTTGAATTTTATTTTTAAATCTCTGATTTACCAGAAGAATTTAGAGTTTTTCAAATACAACTTAAACATCACTTTTATTCATTTGAAATGTGCTTCTTAGACTGTATTGTAATATCTATACACCATTTCATTGAATTTGTTTTCAATGTAATATTTATCGAAAAACAAAAAATCTAAATGACTACATATACAATTAATTTTGACTCTAATTTGTTTGATTGTGTATTTGATATCATGCATGATTGTAGCAATTACACCTTGCAAATACTATTTCTGCACTGTTGTGTTTAATTGCTACATTTTTCTACACAAACAACAAATGGATGAACATTCATAGCTTGGGGGTTACATCAAACTTAATTTTCTGTCCGTATAAATTCACTTGAAAATGCACATACATGTATATATATATATCTATATATATATATAATATATATATATCTATATATATATATATTATATATATATATATATATCTATATATATATTATATATATATTATATATTATATATATGAGCTAAATTTGAACATTGAGGTCTTAATATGCTAGTCTTTGGATTGACAAAGTCAAATTGTGGGAGGAAAAAGTCAAAGATTTTTTTTTCTTTCCAATTGGATTTTGTGAACTGATTTCTCTGATCACACTATTTTGTATTGTTTTTTTTTATTCTATTTTTTTTGCTCCCCACATTGTCTGCTATGGTGATGCAGGTAAATCTAATCTTGCTTGTGGGCTTAGTTGGCTTTGCATGCCAACCCATGCTTTCTTAAATGTCTCCTTAACATGACTCATTTTTTTAAAGCAAACAAAGATACTGATGATCAAATGTGTGAATTGTTTTCAATTTTAAGTTTCAAAATTTCTTACAAAACAAAAGTCTAGTCAGACTTTGTTTTTAGTGCCTTGCTCCTCCCATATACTATTAGATAGATACAGATACAGATATATATATATATATATATATATATACGTTGCAAGCAAAAACTTCTAAATTACAATGAAATCAAATTAAATATAACTAATATTCATAAAAACGTCTATCTGTTTTCAAAGATATGAATTAGGTCAAAATCAAATAATTTACTTGATATGTTCATTAGTTGTATTGAATTACTTATGGATGTGTTATGAATTAGAGTGCATGCTGCTTTAGAATGTGAATTTCATTGAAAGGGCATTCAAAGGCTCATCCATGGGACTCGCTTTTCATTACTATACAAAACTTCCTCGAACAAAGAGTTACGAGTAAATATATTAAAGTGCTTTTGAGTTATCTGGTTGACTTTTTTATTCTCTTGATATTTTCATTTTAAAATAATAGGTTTGAACATGATTTAACCACTTTAAAAATCAACACATATATATATATATATATATATGTCTGACAAAATGATTTTTTTTTGTCAGATTCTTGTTTTTCATTTTTAAAAGTTAAAGTTCTACATTATTGTACACAATAAATAAATAAGCAACTCATGCATAACAAAGAAGAATTTAGTTATTTCCTTTAATATTATACAGACAATAAGTTAAAACATTCATATTAATTACCTCCATAGTGAACTTATTTGATTGACACACTGTAAATAGAATTTGACATATATATATATATATATATATAATTTATTCGCAAAGTTTCCCACTTCGTTATCTTATTAGAATAAAGCACTTTCAAAATAAATTCGATATTCTATTATTACCATTGTTAGTATTTTAAGAATGACACAATTCCCTTTAAAAAGTAAGACCCAAATTTTAACAACTCATATTCAAGCATAACAAGTTAAGTCTAACCAGTTATTTTATTTCATTTTGCCACAACACATAATAAGAAACACTACAAACATATATATATATATATATATATATATATTGAATAAAAAAGTGTGTTTGATGGGATCTTAAAACCTTGTTAAGTGGAAGCTTACACAGTGTACAAAATGCTAACAAAAAAAACCAACAAAAACGAATCCAAATAATAACATTGAAAACATTATCTATATAAATATAAATATAAATATATTTGTTTTTACTAATCATTTATTATATATTATATATTTATTATTATTTTGTTTATGAAAACATTTATGTCCCAATAACCAGTTTGGAACCCAACCCACTCATAGTAAAATTACATACACACACATCAGTGGATTGAAGTCCATAAATAACCCTAATTAACTAGCCCCTCTCTTATTAGAAAAACTAATAAACTTACTATAGTAACATCAATAGTCACTACCTTCCTTTCTAAATAAAGACGATTTGGAGAGAGAGAAAGAGAGAGAAACTAATCCTAATTTCCAAGAAGCTACACGAGTTGGGTTGCTTGCGTGGCAGACAAAACCGGGGCTCGAGAGTTTGGAAGGTCGGTGACTAGGTCGGAAGGTAGGTTCTAAAGTAGGTAGGTGGGTTGGTAGCTGGTTTGAATTGACGAACCGCCGCCGTCGCAAGGGGCAAGGGGGACAGATGTCAGCGAAAGGGTGCTCTGGAGGGGGACAAACCTAACAACTTTCCTGTCCCAAGTTCATCCAACTGAATGGATGAATGAAGTTACAAGGGCTGCTTGGGTTCTGTTGCTGGCGCTTCATAAATTTGTTAGTGTAGGCGAAGTTTTAGACTGTTTTCGTGTCTTTTTTCTTTTTCTTTTTCTTTTTTTTTTTCTATGTTGGAATTCTGCTGATTTTATTTTAATTATGTGATTTGATTATTTTTTATTTTAAGGTAGTTTAAGAGGTGGAAAAAACATGTGAAGAAGAAGAATAAGTGTTGGGCATGCATTGAGAATATTTATATATATATATATATATATATATACAAACACTCATTTTGGATCCAAGGTTGCCATGGATGGGGATTGCCATTAAACACACACTTTTGTAACATTAAAAACGAGTTTACAGAGTGCCAACAATTTGTGGGTTTGTCATCAAATGTTACCTTTGCATTAAAAGTATTGGTTTTAATGAAATTATTATTGTACTTATTATCCTCTCTCTCTCTCTTGAAGACGTTCTATTCCAAATCTCTGTTTAGAATAATAGAAAATAATAATAATAAAAAAAATAAAAGAAAGAAAAAAGGGATTAACTTGATTCTTTCCTAGTATTATACCGTGCTTTGAATGTGATGGGAAGATGTACACTATTATAGTTTGATCATGCATATGATTTTTACTTTTTTACACTAAGTGGTACAAAATTGATATTCAACAAAGGTTGTGAATGTACATCTTCTGCTTGAAGAATAAATTATGTGAACTTATTTCATACAATGTGAATGTTATATCTATAATTTCTTTTGGTGATGGAATTTACTTGAATGTTGTGATCATGTTGAGAAGTGTGTTGAATATGTTAAATAAGTTTGAAAAGTAGCTACTTAAGTCAAAATGAAGTGAAAAATATTCTGAGATAGATTAATAAATGAATGCATTATATAATGAATACATTTGTATTATTTTTATTTTTTAAAACTTATTAAAATATTTGGGTTGCAAAAACATTGATGTTGAAAATTTCAAAATGTTAGATTATCAAACCTCTTCTTTTTCTTACAAAAGTATAATATAAGTAAATTGCAACATTTTTTTATATGATTATACATTTAACAAAAAATTATTCAAAAATAAATAAAAGTACCATATATCTTTCTAAATATTTACATATTAATTTATATAAATTATCAAACATTAAATATTAATTCCATTATATGCTATTTCATAAAATTGTCCAACATTTGAAATCTAAGATGATTTCAATATATGTTTGGAATCAAAGCATCCAATACTAGGAAGATTCTTTACACTTAGAAGAGAAGATGTAAGGCTAAAACTTTTGTTTGTTTTAAATTGAGAAGCCTTGTATAATTGGTTTTGTATTTAAGAAAATTAGCAAAAAGGCTCTACAAGGAAAAAAGCAAGGTATTTGTTTTTTTGCAGTCTATAAATAGAAAAATCATAACATTTGTGGTAGGTCCACCTCAAGAGCTGATTTTTCAAAAAGTTGGGAAGTTATGTTAGAATGTTTTATAATTAAACATTAGGTCATAAAAAATATATTTTTTTTATGCTTTTCATGACCATTAGAATCAAGACATAACCTAACATATTTATACTC